TATATATAATCTATAAAAACACCGGTATAACATTAAAATCATGATTAAATTAATCAATCGATTCTCATATTTGATACTCATTTATGGATTAGTTTTTATATGAAAAAATCTAACATTTTTGTTTAGGATCGTTACAACAACTTTAATTCATCTTAAAAAAAAAAGTTTAATATTTTGGTTCTTATATGAAATTAAAATTATGCGTAGTCTATACACAAAATTAATATAACATTTTAGTTCTTATATGATCTGCTTTTATTTAATTAGTGTGACCCTAGGTAAACATTGTTGAAGATTCTCGTTGACAAAGGAAAAATGAAAGTAAACTTTGCAACCAAACACAAATAAACTTGATTATCCGTGTGTAATTTTGTTAGTGATCTAAGGAAAACTTCTAAATAAAGTGAATATATTCTTATGAATCATGTTTTGTCAATTTATAAACATTGTTAAATTAATGATATTATTCTCTGCAAAAAGATGTTTAACTTAATAAAAAATATATGATGTGTTTATAGAAACCTGTACTTATTTATTTGAAGCAATATTTTTTTTTCTTCCCAATAGAATAAGATAGAATACTTTCATTATTAAATTAGAGAATAGCAATGGCCGTAATCATTAATTTTGAAGAAAGCAAATGAAAGTTCTTTTGGGATTACATTGCTTGTAATTAAGTACTCGTATGGTACGGTTTTTTTAAGTGAGTTTAAGAGCACAGCGTAACACTCTCAATTGTACTTCCATCATCCATAGATTGATATATTATACAAATTCAAACGGATTAAGATTTTTTAAAAATGAAGTTAGTTATTTATAAATATATTAATAATGGCTTAAAGTAAAGGACAAGAAGGTATAGCAATCAAAACTGAATTCCGGTCATTTTTATGTAACGAATTTCAAAGTAAAGAAACGTTGTGAACATTGAATGTAAGTAGAAAGATACAAAAATCCAATGTGATTTTGAGCTTCTGGGCTCTACTTTGCCAAATGAAGCCACCAAAGAGACACTGATTCAGGAACACCTAGCTTGGATAGCGAGGTCCTTCACCAGGAGATCCGGACAAAGATCCGCGCCATTCTGGTTGAACACTGCGCGGTTCAATGCAACCGTGCAAGTTGGTTGCCCCAAACATTGCTGCTCCACGATTTGCTGTGTTGCAGCAGCATTGCAGCTTCCCAAAGAGTAGCCTCCACAGTTTCCAGTGGGGTTTCCAAAGCTTGCAAACTCCACAGCCACAATCTTTTTCCCTGTTTCACACTCCAGTGTCGCTGCTGGTCCCACAACATCCACTATTGGATGGAAGTTACCCCTCCTTGATACCCATGAGTTCACATTCGCAGGATCACTCTCTGAAATGAAGCTGCAGATTGTGTCTCTGTTCACGTTCAGGATCTCTACCTGGTTCGGAGCTACACCTTCCTCTTCAAATATCACTAGCAAGTTGTCTAGTGGGTTCAGGTAAGATCTTGGGATGTGGTACCTTCATCATGCAATAGTCAGCATCCGATCACATGATCAGTTATTATTGTAATATTGTTAACTAGTCTTTACATGAAAAACTTATATATATGCATGTCACTCACTCTGATTGAGTAGGCTGTCCAAGTGGAGAGAGGAATGTCATCCAGTGGCGACCAATGTTTTGACCGTTCACCCAGATGAGTCCTTTTCCCATACCAGTCATTCTGATGGCAACAGGACCATTTCCCTCTGGGGTGGCGAATCTTGTCTTGTACCATGTGATAGGACGTGGAACTGGACTCAATGGCTTCCACTTTGCCCTCAATGCTCCTTCCTCAGTGAAAACTTTCATGCCCTCACCCTTCAGACCAACCTGCAAGTTAAAATGATACCAACTCAGTTATGTCATTGTCATGTGTGGAATATATCATTATGTAGTATTTTTACTAACCGAATGACCCCAGTTGTTGGCAGTAAGATCAAGTGGTCCTTTGTTGAGACCAAGGATGGTTATGGACTTTGGTCCTGCGAACCTATGTTCCATATAAGCTCCACTGTCCTGTATATTTAACATTTCAAGGGATGTGTGTAACAATGTTATTATCATCATTAAAACTTGGACGTTCTTGAAACTCAGAAGAAGGAAAAAGTTGAGGCTCTTACGGGAAGTCCAACCGTGCTAGCCAAGAGTGAAATGTAGTTGGTTCCAACTCTTAGCTGTACTGGTCGGTCGAGCTCAAAAGATTTTTCTTCGTGTGTTCCATGACCAGTTCCTTTCACACAACAAATCAAGACAAAAGGTAAGTATCCTTAGAGGAGTGACACTTTGCCACTTCGAAGGCTAATGAAATATTCTTCTTACCAACGATATCTCCATTTACAAAAGCAACCATGGAATGTCCAAGACTCATAACACGAAGAACTGGGACCACCCCGGGGACCAGTGGCATGTCTTCTTGACACAACTCGAAGCTGCAATGAGGGAACAGTTGTATAAAGTACTCCGAGGTTTTGAAAATTATATGATGGTGAAATACGAGGAAATTTCAATGATTAACTAATCATCCTCACAAACTCACCTGGTGGTGTACCAAGCATAATCGGTGGTATCCTTAAGCAAGCCGTAAAGCTCAGCGGG